GAAATACATGAAGAGCCAAGTTTGGCATAAGTTTAGGTTTTAAAAGACTTATGTAATTTTCTTTGTAACTTGTAATTTTTTGAATGAATGTGAATGCAAACTCCTTAACTTTGAATATACATCTCTTTCCTTTTATTCTTGGTATTAAAAATTGAAGTTGTAATGGTGGATTGTCTTGATGGTTTTTGAAGAACTTGAATTCATGATGAATATGCCTTGCAATTTAAATTGGGACCATGCCTTGTAAAAGCCTTGTAACTTGTGACTTAGCTTATTTGAATCTCAAAAAAATTTGAACACATTTAGAAGTTTGAATGAGTACTCCTAAATAGTGAATTCAAATCAAGTCCCGCTTCTCAAAGAAATCTTAATTCAATCAATAAACCAAGTTACTCACACTGAAAGTAACAAACAAAAGTTTTGATCACCACTTCACTTTTTGTGCCATGATTTGATAATCAACATCATAATATTGCCTTGAAGAAACCTTGAAAAAGGCATATGGAAATATGTATGACCAAGATAACTTTGTCATGAAGATCCAACGAGACTCAATCGGTGAATATTGGCAATTCAAACTCCATAGGGAAGAGACCTTAATTCCCCTTGAGATGTGCCTTGACATTGAAACCCTAAACCAATTTGATGAGATATATCTCAATTCATGAACCACAAAGGAAACCTTCATCCATGAATTCAAGCCTTTGAAAATAAATCCAAGATATGATGATGACATGACTTCGTAATGTAAGCAAACTCAGTTGAAAACCCTAGTCTCCGACCTTGATGAATGTGGATGGAGAATAGCCCTTGTATCTTGATGAGAAGAAATCCATAATAACCCTGAACCAAAAAACCTAATTCACATTATCCAATGCTCCAAGAAGAACGTGAAAAATCAGCCTTATTTGATAAAGAAACCTCAAAACACTATGAAACTTAGCTTGCATAAATGCTGATTGTTTGAACCATTGCCTTATTGAATGAAGGATGATATGAAAATGACCTAGTGAAAATTATGCAAATGAAATGCAAAGCCTAAGCCAGACAAAAGCAAAAAGGTAGGACAAATTTGGGGTATGACAGTAACATTTATGTACCGGTAAAGATGTTTGTTACATTCGTCTTCATGGAACCACATGTTATAGAGGCAAAGAGCATGTTTATTGGCATAAAGAGAATATTGCTTTTCTGGAACTATGGCCAAACTAATTGTAGGTCTTTAGGATTTCTACAAATTATCCTAAAGACTCATAGAGAAAACCCATAATCATTTAGCTCAAGCTTAACTTGCGTCCAACATGTAGTTGGCACACCATGGTTAGAAATTTTTTTGCCACTTGAAGAAATCTCACAAAAGACGCAGTGTGATAACCATAGTGCCAGAAAAGCAATATGCTCTTCGTCAGAGACCTCTTCCGTTGTTTTGTCATTATTGTCTGATATGTAATGGGTAAAGGTGGCTTTGTTGCCATTAAAGTTAATGGTTTCTTCATCCATCTCATATGGATCAGAAGTTTCTCCAATGGGTCGAAGACCGGTAATCGCAACAATGTCGAAATGGGTGTGAGTCATCATTCCGCAAGGAAAATGAAAGGTATTGTGAGAAGCGTCCTAGAAATATAACAAAGCTACTAGCATGTTTTGGTTGTAGCCTGGGCCAGATTTTGACAATTGAATCATGTCATAAAAATCCATTTCTTATTAGAATTGGCCTTTCTTCTTCTCGACTTTAGTGAGCCAAGAGAGGTATGGCTCAGGATCTTTTACCAAGGGTCAAGAGCAAAACATTCTAAGAGTGTTTCTCATATAATCTAGATTAATGGGGTTATCTATTTCTGAAGCATCAGTCAAAGACTTCGCTAGATCATCTATAGGTTTTTAGGTATCAAGTTTAACGTTTCTTTTTTCATCATTTTTCTTCTTTCTAACCAAGGGTTTTGTGCAATGATAAACAGGAAAAAAACTCTTTAAATTTTTTATCAGCATTAGGTCCAGACAAAGGGCCCATGTATGCATGAGTTTCACCAGATATAGTTAAAGGAATAAGTACCTGGGACTGATAAATGTTATGTTTTTCTTCAAGAAGAGGAGGCTCAGGAACATACTCCTGATTTCCTACCAGCGATGACTTTGAGATATGGGTAATGGGTGTTTAAGCTTCTTTCTTTTTAGCCTCTTTGTTATTCCTGGGTGCCATTGTTGAAATTTGAAGTTTTGAAGATAAAGAGTTTTTTTTTTTTTTGAGTTTTGAAGAAAGAAATTGCAACAAAAAAACTGAAGTTTTTAGCTCAAAGATTTGGAAAGTTGTAGAAAGATGAAGAGTGAGGTACTTATAGAAGAAGAGAAAATCTTTCAAGTTCGCATTTGAATGACACCTGAGAAGTTAGTGGAGCACATGTATGTTTCTAAGTGGTTGTGCAATCGGTTTCCTATTTAGTTACTACCATGCTCCTATTTTCTAGGGATAATGATTTTTTGCATTAATGCACGTCTCGATGAGACGTTTGGAAAGAATGGTCATCATGACCATGACATCGTAGCAGTTAGTATTATCGCTTCGAAGGCTTTCAAAAAATGTCATTTTTCCTTCTTGGTCAAAAAGAATATTTTTCGGGGGCAATTTGTTAGCTGTAAATTCGAAGCTCAAAAGGAACAAGAAAATTCAAGAGGATTGTTGAGGATAATATTTGAAGTAAAAAAACTTCATTCGACGAAGAAGCTGGATAATATTTTGACCGAAGCCTTGTAAAGAAGCTTCGAAATGGAGAAATGGTGCAATGATGGGACTTAGAGTTTTTGGAAAAGATTTGAAGGCAAGTTCGACAAGAAGATTTTGAAACTAGGCTGATAACTGAATTTTGGCCTTATCCATTCTTTAAAATAAGACATGCGGAAGCCTGCGAAGGATAAAGCACATGCGAGCAAGAACGTGTCATTTTTTGGAGAAAAGACAGTTCGTTACAATTATTGTCGAAGTAGCATAAATAGAAATCTTAGCATTAGGATTTGGCATTCACATTGTACTAAAACTCACAAATTCTCAAAGTATCTAACTGTTATTGAGAAAAGAGTTGTCTGATAAATGTACATATGAATCATTTCATTTTTATGCAACATCAAGTTACTTATTTCAACATTATTTTCATTCCTTTACATTTTCCGTCGAAGTCCATTTACTTTCCTGCATTGTTTATCAATCATTTCCGCATTACTTTTAAAATTTCAATTCCATCGAAGTAACCGTTATCAAGAAAGTTTAAGAATTTCTATGCACTTATGTCCTAGGATCAATCTAGTCGATCTTGTGAGTAACCAAAACATTAGATTTGGAATACTTGCGCTTGTTTACCAAAATTCACGGTAAACAGTATGTTCCATTCCCTGTCAGAAAGTGACCTTGGTTTCAATACTTAAGAAATAAACCAGTACACCTATTCTCCGTCCCAGTTCATATGCTTCATACTATCACATGAGCCTATTTTTGGAGAGGATAAAACCAAAGGAACTGATATTTGAAATGCTTCATGCTATCAAAAAACACTTCAAAATAATTGTAGCTTGTACCAATGTGATCAAGCCTTGACCTTGGCGTGGTTCGTTGAATTGCATTGTATTCTGAATAGATGGAAAAAAAGGATAAATAGGGCTTTCCACCCATATAATTACACCATTATTGGAAGACTTTGATGTATACCCAACTCACAGGGTTCAACTGTGAAGAAACATTATCAGGTGGTTCAAAACCTATATTTAGAAACTGTTGAAGGGAAATAAAAAACAATTGAAAAAGGACGCTCGTAGAAAAGAATGGTGCATCTGCCATACTCATTACAAATTCTTATGTCTTCATCAAGGGTCACTACACCCGAATTTGAAGAAGGACCCACATAGAGGAATGTCCTCTCAAGACTACCTTCACGAGAAAATATAGAGGCATATTTTCAAATGATAGAATCAACCCAACAAGTAGAAGCATCCTCTTTTATTTTTGACTCGTGATAAGCATCACTTCCTTTGGCTATATAAAATAGCATGTTATGGAAATATAGATGACGAAAAAAGCAAAAGTAATGTCCCAAGAAACTGTAAAACTGACTTCTTAGAGATTGTGTGATGACTTACCAAAAGAAAGATAATATAAACTATCAACGATCCTGATCTCCTCCTGAAAACACTTAAGTATTTTTGTTTCCAATGTTCATTATGATAGAACCTATGAAAGGACGTCTAAATCATGGGATGCATTAAAGGCGCAAGTTCCCAATGATATCAATGACACCTCTTGGTTTTCCACTTAAGTTGGATGACGGCCGACAGGAGAGGATAAATGCTAAAAAGCCCCCACACTACAAAGCACAGACAAGGGCTTGGGGGTAACTATTATGGGTTGGTTAGAAGACCCATATAATGCAACAATTTACCAAGTTACTCGCGATGTGCGTGCATTATCCCGAGTTAAAGTGCATGTAATCTAAATCCAAGATCCACCTAACGACTCCCTGCATCCTACGTCTAAAGATCTGCAAGCAGTTATAACTGCTCTACTATATCAACACAAGGTGCGCCATTTTCTAGGTACAGTTTAAATTCAAACTTCATTCAGTCACCTTACTCACATATTAACTTGAGCATTAGAGTGTTAACCTTGCAGATTATCGCCTCTCTAATCGTACTAGAAACTCAAGTCCATTGTTGCATCTCACAACCTCTAATTTTCGATCAATTATGATTCTGTAGCAGAAGATATCCATTTGTTTAGTTTAAAGATACACTTAATTAATTTAAATAAATTTAATATAAATTACTTTGAAAATAAAAATGCAAAAGTAGAAATAAACAATTTTAAATACTATAATGTGTGCTTCAAAAGCAATAACAAAAAACATCTTCATCCATTAAAATAAACTACAAATTTAACATTACTAAATGTTTTTGGAAGGGGGAAAAACTAAATTAAAATTCACATAGAATCAAAAGACAAATTTTATAATAAAAATTTAAGAGATCCACGCCATAATTTCCCTAGCTGCTTGATTGTAAATTTTCTCCATGGAACTTATGTCCAGTGAACCTTGTTTTGCCTGTAAAATTAACACAAATCACCTTCATTTTTGTTGAATCTTTTTAATAAATCAACAAACTATTTTAATATGTTGATATTTGGTAACATGGTATCGTAGTTTCAACAAATTTCCTCTGATATTAAATATAAACTATGAGAAAGGGAGAGATTGAGCTTGAATCTTACCTGAATATGAATCATGTAGAAACGTCCATTTTCATTGAACATAATATGGGCAGAAACAACATCGATCCTATACTTCTCCAATATAAAAGAAATTGTTGTCAAGAAGCAAGACTTCTTAGTTGCACAAATGCAAAATTGTGCTACGTCGCCACAAACGTTCAAGACAACATTTGGAAAAGACCATGTATTAAAAGCTACTTTTTGTGGTGGAGGTTCCATTATACTAGTAGGAAAGTTATTATTATAACTTAACGATATTTGATCAGCTGCAATTGCTTCCCTTGATTCAAAGGGTTGCAAGTGTGAGTTCCTCATAAATGACGACTCAGTCCCAAATTTGGATACTGATTTCAGCTTTTCTTGCTTCTTGTTTTCTAGTTGTTCAAAAACTTGTTTTAGATTGATAATTTTTTCCACAGCCGCATCCACAATTGATGATTTATCAGCCTAAAAAATCGAAATCAAATTATTCTCATATGCATTTTTTATCCCTTTAGTAAAAACAATTAGCAATTGAGACCAAAACGAAATTACCTTAGAAGGTAGTTCAGGAAGTAAGGCATGAAGATTGGCAAAAAGATTCTTCATTTTCTTTCTCCTGTCTCTCTCATTCAGTATATGCAGTTCTTTATTAGAATTGCGATACTTTCCATCTTTCTCTTTCTCATTTGTAATGTTATTTTCAGTTCTAATCACAACTCCACCTCGACTTCGTTTCTTATTTACGAGAACTTCTCCTTCATTAATACCACATTTCTGATTTATTGATTTCGTACTTAACTTTTGAGTGTTACTCTCACCTAAATTTTGTGAATTTGTAACATCACCCCATGATTGATTTTTCCACATGAGATCGGCATTGGCATATTGATCACGATCTACACTCATACTCATGTTTCTTACTGAGAAATAAAGAAAATATAAGAAAGAGAGGATGAAATGAATGAAATGAGGAGCGTATGTTTTTATAAAGATATAATGGAGTTTAGGAGAAGCTACTATAAAAAAATAATATTAAAATAAAAAATAATGAGGAGTTTGAAATACAAATATCTAAAATATAGGCATGATGATTTTTTGTTACTATAAATCTTAAAACTTATAAAATATAATTAAATTAATATGTTTTTAAATCTTTTTATCAAAAGTTAATAATTATTACGTACAACAAATACATCTTTTATCTCACACACTAGGAGCCCACCACATAATACTTACACTTCATGTATAATTTGTATTAAGGCGGGTTTGTCGAAACTACGATGAAAAACTAACTATAGAGGTTTTGTAAAATCATGCTAATTCACATTAATTTTGCCAGATATAGTGTCATAATAAACATGCATTATTTTTTCCGTTTTATAAAATTAATAATCAATTTTAAAACAAAAGATTAAAATATTGAACTTTAATAGGAATTTTCAAATTAACCCACCACATGTTTAGCCATTTATTTATAAATATTTAAAGAATCGTGTTGTTTAAGTAAGAAAAATGTCACGCTAATTGTGTAGAACTACAACTCAGAATACCTTTTAAGAAAAATGTGCTTTAGAGTGACATTATTTCTATAAAAGATATAATTCAAATATATATTCAATTAACTTATTTAACTATATTACTTTTTAAATCAAATTTTAAATTTTTTTATGAAATTGATACATTTATGTGATTTTATTGTGTATTTATATGTATAAACAATATATCAATAAATAAAAAATAAATTTTAAAGAAAAATAAAAGTGACACAAAATATATATTTTTCTTAAATGTAATATCTATAATACAAACCATTAATAAGCTGAGGATGGCTGGCCTACGGTGCATGTTATACGAAGGGAGACGCGTTTTTTTACCACGGTGGTATATGATTTGATTGGTGCCCACTTTATGAAAATAAAAATCCGTTTCTTTTAGTTTTTTAAAAATGATTTTTATGGTATTATATAATTTTTGTAAAATAAAATTATTGTAATTTATAAAAATTTTAAATGAAAAATTAGTTTGAATAGTTATTATTAAAATGTTATTTTAGATATTTTATCTTCTTATTGAACTTTTTTTAATATAAAAAATAATTTAATTATGAAATTATTTCAAATAGATTTTCATAAAAATTATTTTTAAGATATAATTTTTTGAAAAAATTATGATTTTGATTATGTTTTGGTCTTCAATAATGCATGTTTATGTTATAGAATATCAAAATTAGTGTTTCAATTTAGAAAAAACGAATATAAAAAAGCTTGTAATATTTTAAAAAACGATTTTATAAAATCTATTTTTAAAAATACTAAGGAAAAAAATTTATTTTATAAAAAATTCATTATATATATATATGGCCGATTCTTACTTTTTATTCTTACTTTTTAGAGTTCCATGGCTAATAGTAAAATTGGACCTCTAATAAAAAATAAAGTAACTAACCTTAAAGTTTGGTCATATAATAATTTTTTAAATATTTAATAATAAAAATAAATATTATTTAAATTTTACATTAAAGACGAGACCGTCAAATATAATTTAAAGGTTCGGTTCCAATTTTAAAAATTAATCTCTAATAAATAGAATGAAAAGAATTTTAAAAGAGATATTTCATTTAAAGTGTAAAAAGAGATATTTCAACTCTCTATATTTCAGTATAGTAAGGAGAGGCTGAGGGCTGCCATGTATATCATCCATAGAGGGAATCATGTTGTGATGTTGTTTCGGGTGTATCTCGATCGGATTGTTCATGATGACTTCCTATGGACGTCGTTTGAGAATTATATGAAGATTGTCCCCTTCGACTCCATCTCATTATACTCAGGGTGACTACTGAAGCGGTAAAGCGGTAAGTAAAAGTAAGTATTTTTATAGGGTGATATAGGTTATATCGTATCGTCTCCATAGGAATTAGTGGTTATCGAGTCGTCGTTCGACAAGTCACGCGTTAATGAGTTTGGGTTAAAATGGGTTTGAAGTAAATGCGGGAATTTAAAGTTATTAATAGGAAAAGAATCCATTCTTTGGAGAAGAGACTTATCAAGCATGAATATAATCCACTCGTCACATATTTAAACATATCAACCAGTTGCACTCAACCTACTCTACTCGTCAAAATCATCACAGACACCACGAGATGTACCCACAGCGAAGGTTATGTCTAACTCAAATTGCGAGAACAATGGTATTCCTGCATCGGCGATCTCTCAACGCAACACAAACAAGACTGAGGCATTAAGCTTTGATATCCATTGTGATTAATAGCTTTAAATCTATCTCTAGAACCTAGAAACTAATAGATATCCATCCCTAATCAAGATTTGTGAGGTACATGTCTATAACAACTCAAATTCAAACATAAAGCAAAAAGATCAAGAAAGACATCAACAATGATTTGGAAAGTAAACTTTATACAACACCATGATCAATACATATACATATGTTCAAAGTAAATAAATATACAAAACCCAACAAATGAAGAATACGCAAAGAGGAAGAGAAATGAACCAAAAATCTCTCGGTCTGTCAACACCAAAAGATGAGAAATCCACCCAATTTATAACACCCTTCTAAAACCCCACGATTTTCAAGAATATTTTTAATAAATAAATAAATGTAAAACAACAGCAAGGATGTCACATCTTCACATAAGCATCATATAACAAACAATCATGCTCTGTAACAAGGGTTGCAACAACATTTTAAAATATAAATAGAATCTTTGGTATTCTAAACCATTTCATTTCGAACTTCACAATGGAAATAAGAGTCTTCAACTTCTTCATAAAATAATCTCAATACCATGAAAGATAGTCCAATTGTTAATAAAATCATCACACTTCATGTTTATAACATCATAATATGAAACATGGCAAAAGTCGTGAAAGTAATACAAAATCTCAAGATAACAAAATAATACATGGTTCACAACCAATTGATCTCAACCTTGATGTTATATATCAGAGCAAGACTCCCTTTATTCAACGAAAAACAAATGAATGCACACTGAAGCTATCCTCTAATCTTATACGAGTTATTCTTGATCACCTCTGTGTTACCCACATAGAGCCAACATTCAAACAGAAAGGGTGAGTAAATCATAATCATTATAAAAGACATAATGAATAAATATAGTAGTTATGACACAATAACAAGAAACAGTACATTGTTGCATCCTCGTGTTATACTCACACCATCTTATACTCATATTAAATACATCATTATATCATCATGTCAATACATGTCATCAAGCATCACAATTAGCATCACATCATCATTATCATATAATAATTTATTATACAATATCACATATAATGTAAATGCACTTCATTTGACTCATGCATGTGGTACCAAAACTTCACTGATAACTCAGTCATCGTTATCTCCAAAGATCCCCACCAATAGGATCGATTCCCACTTGGAACCAGAGCACTTCACAATTTTGCACTTAATCTACACTATGAGATTGACACCTTCTTTGGACGATTGTCCTATCATCTTCACTAGATTGAAGTCCTAACAACATCACTGGACCAAAGTCCTATATTATGCCATGAATGCATGGTGCGCAATGATGCGGTGTATTCGCAAGTGTACGAATTGCGTCGGAGTAATATAAAAGATTATCAATCCACAGAGACCAATCTTCAATCTATCATTTCCTATTGTTACGATGTTTATCTAAGTCAGTATTAAATAGAGAATTGAGCATGCAAGAAAGTAAAGTGTGGCGAAATAAACTTCAGATATAAAAGCAGGGACGAATGTAATTCACATAGTCAGATGATATTCGCAATGCTTCGGAATATAACTACTTATAGGGAAATATTTTCTACTAAAGAAAAGAACTAATTTAACAGGAACTGTCGCTTTCGCGTAATCAGAACTGAGTTTACTCTCTAATCATACCTTCTTATCGTCACTTATAAAAAGGTGTGCATTACGTTAAAGTAATAAAACTATTTTTAAGAAATAAAGTACTTGACCAAGTTGAAAATTATTTTGATCTAGAATTTATAATAAAAAGGGGACCTAACTTTAACCCTATAAACGCGTCCGAAAATAGTTTCAAAATTGATTTCTTTGATTACAAAAATCCCTAACTAACCGGACAAATCGCTTTCGCTTGCTTTGACCAGTTAGAACTAACCGAGTTTAACAAAGGGTTGGACGGCTTTCGATCTTACCCAACAACAATAAAGTAAAAAAAAACTCGTATTAAAAACCAAAATAGCCCATAAGCATTTCTATTGACACATTATTTGGAATATCGATCTAACTAGATTCCTTACATTCTAGCCCAGTAAGGTTCAGCCTGACATGGGAATGTAAATAGACATGTTAAAATAAATCATGCGAGAAAGTAAATGATTTAAAGTGCGGTGCGGGAAATAAACAAAGTAAAAGCAGTGTTGAAAATAAACAAAGTAAAATCAGGTGCGGAAAATAAACAAAGTAAAAGCAGTACGGAAAATAGATAAAGTAAAAGCAGGTGCGGGAAATAAACAAAGTAAAAGCAAGTGCGGGAAATAAACAAAGTAAAAGCAGGTGCGAAAAATATAAATAGAAACCTGCTCCAAATGGGGAGGTTTTAAATCTAATACAAACTAGAAGTAAAATGCGACTGGAAATAAACAGCAGTTGAAAATAAATGTGGCTGGATAAACTTTTGTCGAAGTGCTCCAAACTCGATTACAGACTCAATCTATGAACTCGATCACAGACTCAATCAACAGTGCAATGATTCCTCGATGTGAAGAATTATCGCTTTACAATGGTGAAATTATATGGCTTAAGTTCACAACTATGGTTGGATCAAGTTTGCAACTAAGCTTGGGTGAATTGAAATGAAATCAGGAACTTCTATTTATAGAGGATAAAGAATGCATGAAATTACAGGAATGCCCCCC